AGGTAGTGTTGGACCACTTTGGCTGCTCTCTGCGCCTGGTAGTGATTGGGGTTCAGCTCTCCTGTCGCCATCACATCCTCGTCTGCCTCCTCTTCCACCAATATGTCCAGCTGTTAACCCAGAGAGAAGAGAGCGCAGACAGTGAGAGAGGAAATAAGAAAAAGACTGTTTTCAAAGAGGGATGGGCTTCTAAGGACTTTGACCCTCGGTTGTCAGCAGGGAGAAGCTTTTGTCTTCAGCTTCAGACACAAGGAAAACCTCCATTGGGAAAAAAGGGGAAAGCAAAAAGAACAACAATAGGGTGAAGAGGTGTACAGCTGAAAAAGTGTTTAAATAAGGGAGTCTGATCTTGCCTGTAACTGAAACGCTGGAACTTCTCTGCCTGTTAGTTTGACAGGTGGAAACTTTTATGTGTCCGCTGCTCTGTGTGTAAATGGAGAGATTACTTCCCACTTCCTCCTTCAGAGCTCTTGGACTTCCCCCCTTTTTTTTTTTAAAGAGACAGAGCTCTTTTCTTTTGTTTCCCCTCAGCTTCTCTTCTCTCTATTGAATCAGCTTTATAACAGGAATGCAACCGTGGATCAGTAACATTTGTTGCTCCAGTGTTTGAGCTGCTATTCAAATTTTAAATGAGATTTCCGTGATAGATTAGTTTGATATATTTGTATGTGACATCCCAAGTGTATCAGTGCCAACACTGATGATATGATCTTTTTCACTAATATTGGTCTAATACTAGTAACTGTAGTCTAATGACAAATGGAGGTGCAGAACTTAGCGAGTCTTCTTGTAAATTGTATTTGACAATAACATGAGTTATTTTTTTGTGTTAAATGGCTCCGAAAGAAATCATAAAAATAGTGTATTTTCACATTGCTTATGTATTACAGAAAGATATCTCATACACACACACAGGAAAGAAACAAGATCTAGATTTCCCTGTCTTCACTAAACCAATATATGGTTAATATTTGAGTTGACTATTGAGTATCATCTTTTTCAGTTAGTCTTCAGCCATCCATCTTGTGTTGGTGGTTCTGTCTTCTACCATATCTGTCATCTCTTAACATGTACTGCCATATTTAAAAGTACAGTACCATACATGACCTAGCTATATCCAAAATGTATTAAATAATAGTGCACTATTATTTGTAATACTTTTAAAGTACAGCAAACATTAATATCCATCTAAGAAATCAAATGATGTGGGATTTGTTTTGAATTCTGTACTTATGTGTGCTCTTTTTTCTTTCCCTGCAGGTTTGACTTCCTTCACAAGAAGCAGAGCGGCGGCTCGGGGCAGTACGGTAAAGTTATCGGATACATTGAGCCTCTTGATGGCGAGCATCAGACCGGCCTGGAGTTTGAAGACCTGACTGTTGGAACCAACATCCCGAAGCAGTTTGTACCAGCTGTCGAAAAGGTTTGTTTCCCAAACTTCAAAGTAGAAAAAAAGCTACAAAGGTTACTTGAACTCTAAGCTAAAGACAAGCTCTTGTTTTTCTGTAATTAATTGTTTCTTCCCATCATGCTGCAGGGCTTCAGGGAGGCCTGTGAGAAGGGACCCCTGAGCGGGCACAAGATCTCAGGACTAAAGTTCGTCCTGGAGGATGGAGCGAGTCACTTGGTGGACTCCTGTGAGATGTCCTTCATCCGTGCAGGGGAGGGTGCTCTAAAACAAGGTGAGGGTCTGACCTCCTGTTTCACGTCTGTTGTTGTCAGCGTTTGTTAATGCAATGCGTTCTCCTCAGCGATGGAGAGAGCCAGCACGGCCATCCTGGAGCCCGTCATGTCTGTGGAGATCGTAGCTCCTGTGGAGTTTCAGGGAGTGGTCATCGCTGGTGTAACCCGCCGGCATGGAGTCATCTCCGAACACGACGGTACGGAGGAATACATCACCCTGTGCGCTGAGGTGAGTCCAGTTTGTGAATGACTCGCATCCAGCATGCATCTGCAGTCTTCAGCTTTCATTTGTTGTCTCTTATGCTCCTCCAGCCTTGGTATTTGACGAATTTACAAACTCTTCCCAACAGATTCCACTTAACAACATGTTCGGATACGCCACAGAACTACGCTCCTCCACTGAAGTAAGTTCAACCCTCAAACGCCAACATCTGTAGAACATCTGTAGTGCATATACTGTAAAGTGAATGCTATTCCCTGTGTTTTTATTCATCAATGGATGACAAGCTTTCTAAAATAGTAGCATTCTAATGAAAAGACCAAATGCTACATATTCCGTATTAATAAAAAAAAAAAATTGTTATGAATATAAACATTATTACTTTCTATATTGCACATACATCTACTTTTCCTGTTTACATTTAATATATCCATTTGAAATACTATCAGCCAGTACTTTACTTTATTTAGTTTTATTTATGCCTTACTACTTAATGCGTTTCTTATTTGCTTTGACTTGTTTCTTTTACTGATTATTTATTATTATAAAGATATTTAAACAGCTTTGTTGAAAGGTGCCTAAAAGCCAAGATTTGTTTTGATTACGAATGCTTTGTAGGAATAATAAAGAACTTAAAAATACAAATATTGATGAAATGGTCTTTTGAAACATGCTGGATTTCCCGGCCTGGAGTAATTCCTGCAGTCTTCCTTTCTGGTTGTTGGCAGGACCTCCACCAATCAATTGAGAGGAGTCTTAGAGTTCAAAACAACTTTGATAAACTAACATTCTTTATCTGATGTTTATTCAGGGAAAAGGGGAGTACACCATGGAGTACAGCAGATACCAGCCCTGCCTGCAGGCAACCCAAGAGGAAATCATCCAGAAATACTTGGAGTCTACAGGGCAGCTGCCTGTGAAGAAGAGCAAGTGGAAGGCCTAAAAAAGCATTATCCACCGATTAGACTGGACTTAAACACGACCACCGTCCCTCATGTCTACACACATCAACCGTGACTCAACAATAAGGCCTACATTTGAGGAGCCATGAAAAAACTGACACTTTACTTTTGTAGCTATTGTTTCTCCCTAATGTTTGACCCACTGCAGAAAACATATTTATTACCTTGATTTTACAAACATTTGACCTAGTTGGTATAAAAAACTCTCTGTTTTGACTTGAGCGTAAAATGGCTTTTGTACTATGTACAGAATGGTATTCATGGAAAAATGTCTGCCACAAAGATATATATCCGTCTTTTAAAGTGTAGTTCTTTTTATGTGCGCGTCATTTGTCTCCACAACTACAAATGTAGTACACATTTTTCTTGTACAGCAGCATGCTCCTGGCAACCTTTAGATCTAATGATGTAAATGATTATCTACAAAAATATAAAAACAGCTATATGGATCTTTTGTTGACGATGACTTGACTTGCTTAGTCAAATAGGCAATTTTTTTTACGAAGTAATGAGAACATCTCTGTTAAACACAAGATTTAAAGTGGTGCGTTTGACTGGTTCTTATGGAGATACTCCGTTTTATGGATCAAAAAAGTTGTAGTCCAGCCTCCCTAGAAAAGCTAGATCTTCCTCACCGTTTCAGAGAGCTCTGTTTCCTCCACTGTCTCTGGGACGCTGTTGGGATGAACCGTCGTGAACGCTGAGTCAGCTTCAGGTCTGTGCGTCACGCTGGGGCTCCCGGTCACCCCACTCAACACAGCCAGAAGCACAACGATCCTCAGACTCATTATAGTAAGCTGTAAAACACAGAGGCCAGAGAAAAGGAGAAAGCCACTTCTGTGAAGGAGCGCAGGAAAGGAAATGACCCTCCTGTCAGTGTGGAGTTATGTAACGGAGGAGGAGGGAGCAGAAAGAAGAGACTGTCCAGATCTCAGGCTTCCTGGCACAGTCTGTTTATTTTTGTTCTCCTCTTAACTAAAACAAACTGCTCTACTTTATCTGGTTCTGTTCCTCGTACGCTCTCATGCAACTCACTTAAGTTGTCAGCGCCTAAATGTTTCCACAGCCTCACGAGATGAACTGATTAGTTTAGCAACAGTAATCCCATTAGAGCAGCTGTGACTAATGTGAGCTTGATGTTTTGCAGCCTCACTCGTTCCACTGTGTGCCAGATTAAATGAAGCAGGATGTTCACTGAGACAAATCAAACACGTCCTGGCAATTTGGGGTTGTTAAAACGCTAAATCTACACAGTTAAATATATATTAAGGAGAGTTATGAAAACATCAGCTGGAAAAGTAGCTCACAATCCAACATCCAACAATATTCTCACAGGACACACTAACACTTTGGAGATTATTTAGTAATTTCTTAAATTGTTCTGATATCATGGACCTTAGATTTAAAAATAAATAAAAATGGTTTATATACTCAGCTGTATCTCTTTGGTCTGGAAAAGGTAGTGATATTTTCCGTCAGATTTTAAGTTTAAGATGTTTTTCTTCAGTTATATAAAGTATCAGACTCTTATTTGGGAAATACACCTTGACCTCAGTCACATTTCTGAATCTAATCATGTAACTTATTATCTTTCCTAAAATTAGATGAATTGAAGAATTGCTTTTGATGAGCATGTTTAAATCTCCAAAATAGAGATGCTATTTGCTGGTCAGGAAAACTTTAATGAGACCTAATCAATAACAGAAAGGCTTTTCACCGGTTGCACTGAGGTGCAGTTAATGCTCTGTGCATAATATGTACATACACTCAGTAACTGTGGGGGAAACTTCTGTGTAGCAATGCAGTGGGAGTCACCGACTCAGGAAGGAGACACGGGGTAGAGCTGGAGCTTTGATGGCAAACACTGATGGGTTTATTTAGGAGCTTCGGCCGGAGAATTCACAAAACAAGTCAAAGAGTCAGAGGTTCTGATTTCACGGTAGAGTTGCCACGTCAATTCTGAAGAACTCTACCCCAGACCCATGTATTTAGCTAATTCAGAGAGAATAATCAACATTGTGCATAACAAGATAGAATCATAACACCTCTATCAGCTGACGCCAACAAGCAGGAACAGGGAGACAAAACACTGAGAGCACAGCAGCCAAGGTTACAGGTGCGTGTGCTCAGCCAGGACAGTATGAACTGATAAACTGGGTCAAAGTTATGGGCCTTGGAAAATATTTCCCCAACAGTAACCACATAATAGGGTAAACCTGTATGATCTACTGCAATTCAATAAAATAGCTCATAAATAATAATAAAGAATAATAATAAAAGTAGACTTTGTAGCAGAACAGTTATCATGGTCTAATGTCTTGAAATTCTAGGTACTGTGGACATAAATACACATTGGATTATAGAAATCTCGTCTTAGATATAACAGTAAAGTGGGTCTCCAACTATGCTTAGTTGGGTTCTTGAATTTGAGGGAATTGGCACATTTCAAAGAGTGTATATAAAAAACATAATTGGAAGACACTTCAACTCTGTGTTACAAGGTCAAAAACTACATTTAAGACACAGAGCACATCTCAGTCAACTTCTTCCTTCTCTTCTTTACTCCAGGCTCCTCATGGAAAACTGCAGGACTTTGAGCGCCATGTCCACTTGTACAATCTGTCTCTGGAACTTCATTCTGCCTTCTTCTACATTCATGACCGATATTTCCCAGCTGCGCCTCCCGGGGCAGATTATCGATAAGCTCGTAGAGGGTGAAGATGCTGAAGCAGATTTCATCGTAGGCTGTTTTTGTGCCGCACTCAAACAGGCAGGCGAAGGCCACAGCAGGTGGGGCCCCGGGTGAGGGGGACAACTCTAGATAAGCCAGGTCGGAGTAAGCACTGGGGCCCTCGTAGATCACCCAGGGGCCCCGCCAACTGTCTGGATCACGGGGGAACAGGCTGAGGAAGATGCCTAGATCCCTGCGTGCTGAGGTCCATGTCGGGTGGGAGTATACTACCCAGGTGGGGGTGAGGAAATCTGGAGGACTGGGGCTAGGGTTGGGAACAGAGGTGGAAATGTTTGAGGAAGTCCAGTGTCTGGAGTGACTTGTAGGTTGATGCAAATGACTGTCAAGAGAAGTACATAAATGTAACGGGGCAGGAAATCCCACAATGCTTCCATGACAACCGTTTCGAGGCTCCACCAGCCGCTGCACCAGCTGCCCCTCCTGAAACACGGCTCCATCGTCCAGACTGAGGGCCTGCACCCGGTATCCCAGAGGGCTGCGGGCGTTACAGTACAGCACGTTAGTCCCGTCCTCCTCATCCACAGACACCATCTGACACTCCACGCTCTCAGGCACTGGCACCGCCTCCCCGAAATGCCAGGTCCGCCCGTGGGTGTCACTGTGGAAGCAGAAGGCGCGGGGAGTGGTCTGGCACAGCTGTCCGAAGCACTCTTTGCACTCAATGTGGTAAGCGTAGGCAGGTATCAGCAGGCGGCCCGACTTCAGCTGGATGCCGTGGCCCGGGCCGAGAGCAAAAGTGGCCCATTCTGCAGGGAGGGAGCAGGAAGTGAGAAGCAGGGGATGCATGAGGGGGCTGATGCCTGACACTTAAAGGATGTGTTCCCATTTGGTCAAGTCTGTCTAAAAATGAAACTCAGAGTACATAATTAGCAAGAGTTTTTTCTTTTAGAAAGACTTGGAAAAGTTTAAAACTATCTTTTAACAAGTTCAGTTTGCACACCGTTGCACATCCCCCACTTTCTGAGCAGTTTAATTGATAACCCTGAGATGCTCGCCTTAAGCAGATATCAAGAGTGAGCTACACTCATCTGGTAAGCTGACTTTTCACCGAGTACCCATACTCTTTGTTTCTTTTTCATATTTTTAGTTTTCAGCCCCAAATTATGCTGACATTTTGTCAAACAATCTGGAACCGCATAGACTTTATATATCTTTTCATCACCACAGATACAGGAGAATGCAGAAGAATCAGAAAACTCTTCTGAGATCAATGTTTAAAATCATTTTGCATAGAAAAAGACAGCTTTCTAAGTTTTAAATAATCAGAAAATAATATGTTAAGTCTGTTAAAGGGTGGATCTTTCCTTAATTTCAAGGCTTTATTGTCATATGCACATTAGCTACAGAGTAGATATGACAATGAAAATCTTAATTCACAGGCCCCTCCAACAGTACAACATGAATATATATAGGACATAAAACAAATAAAAAAGATAAAATAGTAATGAAGCCCTAACCTTTGATAGTATCTCCTATGACACTCTTGGTGAGGTCGGTGACAGGACTCCAGGTGCCTCCTTGGTCGGTGCTGCAGACGTAACAGAGACGGGTAACATTCCTCCCCGACACCAGCTGATAAGACTCCGAGGTGTGACCCAGGACAGCGATGAAGAACAAGAAGAGAGTTCCTGTGAACTCATCGTACACCGGGCACGGGTTCATGGAGCGATGGCCTGGCAGGAAAGCAGTGCCCAGGACACGAAGGTCATCCCACTGCAGCAAGAAAGGAGGGAGGTTATAATATCAGAGAGGAAGAGTCTAAAAATATTAAAATACTTCCTTTATACCCGGTAAAATGCCTGAGAAACAAGGTAGTTTCAAGGTGTCTTCTACATAAAAAAAGGTGTTGTAATTGACCTCTTTGTGTATTTATGTACTTAGGAAATTTAAGACAGGAAATGGAATTCTGTGGTGAACATTTTGAAGAAACCACTTAATACTGTTACTCAAGTAGAGAATTGCTTGACTATAACCATAGAATATAGTAAAGCTCTCAAATCTGAAGGGCTCTACAGTATCTACCTCCACATAGTTCCTGTAGAAAGTGCCTTTCCTGAGGACCAGCAGGTGAGCCTGAGAGTCGGACGGGCTGAGTCTCTCCTCACAGAAGGCCATGAAGGTCCTGGAGCGAGACAAATAGAGCAGCGCTGGCACTCTGTACGTCACTCCGTTGAGCTCCTTGTGGAAAAGCACCGACCTCGCTGGAAAATAGGGCGACCTCATGCTCTCCAGTGCTCAGGAAATGTAAAGAGAACTCCAAATCCTCTGAGAAGGAGCTTAACAAAGATACAAAAATAAATAAATAAAAATATGTCTATCATGTAAAAAAGAAAGTGAAAATTACCTTTATTGTTTTCTATACAATTCTAACTGTAAACAGGGAGACCAATAGGTGAATAGGAGTGCTAAATACAAATACTATCTTTAATTGGACGACAGGAAAATAAATTACACATTCAAAACAATATCATCTTAGTGAAACCTTCCTATGTAGTTGAGGTAGAAATTACACAAAAAGAGAAGATAGCATCTAATGTGCAGGTCATTACCAGAAAAAGGTAAATATCTCCATACTTACATTCAAAACGCTCTGTGAGAACCGCTGCTCCTCTGTGACAATATACAGGTTGTGTCAGCATTGTGTGTGTGTGTGTGTGTGTGTGTGTGTGTGTGTGTGTGTGTGTGTGTGTGTGTGTGTGTGTGTGTGTGTGTGTGTGTGTGTGTGTGTGTGTGTGTGTGTGTGTGTGTGTGTGTGTGTGTGTGTGTGTGTGTGTGTGTGTGTGTGTGTGTGTGTGTGTGTGTGTGTGTGTGTGTGTGTGTGTGTGTGTGTGTGTGTGTGTGTGAACCATGGCCTCTCCTCTCTGTTCCCTATTCAGTATGGCACACTGTTCACTGACCTAGAAATGGACCACACTCATCACATCTACAGCTTTAGATGATTCAGCAGGTAACAGCCATTGTGGAAATGAAGGTCTGCTGAACAATGATCTGATGTTCTGCCTCCTCGGAGTCCTGTGTGATTTTCATTTTCTGCAGCATGTGTAGCAAGTTCTGCTTTACTGTTGGTTTATATTTCACAACTGAGACAATGTAGTGTACACATATAATTGCAAGTTATTTTTTTATAGAAATGTAATAGCGATAACTTCCCCTGAATATTCCTTTCAGTCAGCATTTGCTCAGTTTTGCACTAGCATCAACATCCACCATAGACTGTACACTGATGTGAGTAAAGGGTGAAAAACTAAAATATTAAAAATAATCCAACTCCAAGGAATAAAAGTAATATATACATGTTAAATAGATTTTTTACATAAAGTTAATTAGATGTAGTGGTGTCTGCGATTCCTGGTGAAAACATGTTTTAGGTAAACAGCATTGCAACAACATAGAGCTTTACAACTAATATGTGATGTCATCAATGAGCGACCGGTCCCCACATGGTAGCCTGCTGAAGTTGTGACAGCACTTGCTAAGGTAGTGTAATTTTATTTTTGTCTTGACCTTATCAATGCATTTTTACAGCGTTATTGTTTCACAAATGATCTTCAATCAGCGGAATAACAATGTCACTTCAGCCAAACCGCCAGCTGATCGGGGAGTTAGCTTTAAGGCTAACACATTAGCATAGCTGTTAGTTTTCTTCTGGTTTGACATTTCCTTTTTGTGTTTGCTGCTATTTCGCACTTCTATTGCTTTCAAACCATAGACTGTATATATAAAGTTTCAAACATCAGTCTGTCTCTGATGAAGTTTCTCCCTCGTATGTGACATAATAAGTCTTATGAGACATAGACACATAGTAGCTAGTTTAGTTTTAGGTTAGACATGACAGACATTAAATCCGGTCATATTACTCAGCTTCACAGACTGTCGGCATTATAATATTCAAATAAAAATAGAAGAAGCCTAATTGCGTCTTTTTTGCCCACTGTAGTCATGATATCTGGTGTGGATTTAGATTCAATGGGTCCCATGACATGGAAGCTATTGAAAAATAAATGTAACTTATCAACCAAAGGCAGAATCTTTCCCTTTTTATATAAAATAGAAAAAAACTCTAGTTATGTTGTAAAAAATCTCACTCGTCACCGGCTTGAGTTTCAAAACAGGATACATATTTTATTATTTAGGGTATTTATTATCCTTGCAAGAATGGAAGTAGTCATCACATACAGAGCATACGGTACAACTATTTCCCCGAACAGTGTCCTTCACTTGCTTATACAAGAGAGGGTGTTATTCAGTCACACGATGGAGAGATACCAGTTCAAAGCATTATTGATTTCTTCAGATTAGCTAAGGCCCACGTCAGAAATGATCATGCTCGAGATATGTCTATCTGCCTAGAGGCTGAATCATCATGTTAATCGTTGTCACATAGCTTATCATATGCCCATAACAGTGTGTCATGATGCTCTTCTAGGTAATCATACATCCTGCCATATACAGTTATACACTTGGGCCTTCGTTTGCATGTGTAACTCTGTCCTTAATAGAGTACATTCAGTATTTTCCCCAACAAACTTTATAAAAGAGATGTGTCCAGTATAGTTATATAGTTCTGCGTAATTGAAAAGATCTGATAATTGAAAAGATCTGATATTTGTAAATAAAATAAATGTTTCTCACCATTGCCTGAAAAACAAAGAGCTATTAATTGACGATCAAAGTTGCTTGTAAGTCATCATTATTTAGATCATCTTTACTGCTGCTTTGAGGTTTTGCCATACAACAGGTATGTCAGAGCAACACCACAAATGCATATTATTTCTCCTCACTTTCTGCAGGGTCAGCATGGCCGGGCAGTGGTCTGAGGGCCACTCCACATCCATCCTGTGTGTCGGGGCGTCTTCAGGCCCCGAGGGTCTCCTCGCCTCAGGCTCAGAGGGTGGAGAGGTCACATTGTGGAGCCAAGAGGGAACCATCATAGGCCGTCTCACTCTCCCTGGTGGAGAGGACAGCACCAGTGTTGTGTTTTCTCATGCAGCTCCCGGACAGCTGTACGTGTCACATGGAGACGCAGTGAGTGTACTGGATCCCCGAAACCTGAAGGGCCCTGTGGAGGAGTTTCAGGGTGCAGGGGAGGAGGAGATCAATGCGTTGTCCCTCAATGAGACCGGGTCAGCCCTGGCAGTGGCTGATGACTCCGGGGTGGTCCGGGTACTGGAGCTTCCTGGAGGAAAAGTGTGCAGGACTCTTCGTAGACACACTAACATTTGCTCCTCTGTTGCTTTTCGGCCACACAGGCCCAACAACCTAATTTCTGCTGGACTCGACATGCAGGTAAGGGAGAGGACCATTTGTAATTGTGTCATGTACTACATTTTACAACTAGGGCTTTTACTACCATTATTTTCTCCATTAATGGTCTATAAAATGTCAGATAAACTGAGAAATGCCCTTCCCAGTTTCTTAAAGTCCAAAATGAGGTCTTTAATTATTTTTAGTCAGCCCTAAACCCAAATATATTAACTCAAAGGAACAGCAGGGAATTTCCAGATTTAATAAGCTTAATTTTTACATGGAAAAGTACTTTTATGTTTGATTTTAAGAATAGTTGGCAGTTAGTTTTCTATTCATTGAATAATCAGTGAAAAAATAGTTGCAACTCCGGATCAGTTTTACCTTTCTTGTGCCTTAAGGTGATGCTGTGGGGTCTGCAAAAGACTCGCCCTCTTTGGACCGTGAACCTCCAGGATGTGGCAGAGGAAGAAGGGGACGACCAGCAGCGTCCTGGGCAGCTTTTTAACCCGCCTCTGGTCCACTGTGTCTCTGTGGCGAGTTGTGGGAACATTCTGGGTTGTGCGGCAGAGGACGGGCGGGTGCATGTGATTCGGATCGGCAGCGGCTCTAAACTGGAACAGCAGGGAGCAGTCAAGGCTCACAGTCAGGGGGCCTCACAAGCCCACTTTGTTAGTTTCCTTTCCCACCCTCACTGGCTCCTCACCGGGGGAAATGACGGCCTGGTCGCCCTGTGGGACCTCAGTAAGCACCCAGTGGTGACTCCAGAGGCAAAGGCTGGAGTCACCGCTGCCCCACGCAGGAAGAGTAAGAGCAAAGCAAAGAGGAAAGAACAATCCCAGAATAAAGCCAAATCCCCACCAAAGGTTGAAGCAGAGAAAGAAGAAGAAGGGGAGGAGGAAGAGGCAGCATGTGCAGAAGAGGTGACGGAGGAGAAGTCTGGCCCCAAACTTCGCATCAGTCACGGGGACAAAGTGAACTGGCTGTGCCCTGTTGTGCTGAAAGGAGAGCCCAGTGTGGTGGTGGCAGATCAGAGCGCCAGCCTGACAGTCTACCCTCTGTCTCCACTTTAGATTAACTTAAAAACATTCTCATATCTTGTTTTGCCTTGTTTTAAGTTTATAGTTTTTAAACTCTTTAAGGTGTGCTCAGAACAAATGTGGAGCAGATTTTGCATTGCGTTTTGAGAATATTTGGCCCTAACAGCCAATAGGCTTACCTCTAAATATACTTAAACATTTAATTCCACCATCAGCCTGTACACACTTTTCATGGCATGTAGCTGTTGTGTCGTCTCTCCCTAACATTAGTCGCATTGTATTATAGAGCTTCGGGTGCCCACAAACGGCAACAATTTGTTTTTCCTCTATTTCCTATTCTTGGTGATAGAGTCTTTGTATGTTATCGTACAGAGCAGAAGCTGCTTTGCATTTGGCCTTAGCACACCTCAGAGTATACACTCCTGTTTGATGATGTATGAACCTGTTGCATCACTATTTGGACGGGATTTTAAATAGTCACTGTAAAAGTGGGATCTTGCAGAAAACAAACACTGGTGTTCCATAAAGCACTGGAACAAACAAATCTGTTTCCTTTGAGTTTCTACATAATATTCAACAGACTAAATGTTGTGTTTCAGTTGATGCCATATTTACTGATTGAATTTGGCTTGTTTGTTGTTTTGCATGTGTGTGGTCCTATAAAAAAAATGTCATCCTTGGAAATACATCTTGCAATACATGCCTCTTGTGAGCTGTAAAACGACCACACCATAGAAAATAGGAACGTAGCATATTTACCAGTCTGTGGTGCTTTTGTAGAGTAAAAACATCTCAATCCAAACCAGGTGCCAGACGGATTAAAAAAAAAACAGTATATATTTTCTTGCCGTTTGTGGTGACCTTGTTCACTGGGACCTGGAGCTGTTTTCAAAAGTAATCTAAAGCAGCGCCCTGTGATCTGACACCCAGCTAAACCCCGTTTAATAATGTAATGTTCTTTGTGTTGATAATATCATGATTGCTGCTTATTATCACACAGACCTCCTTAAAACCAGACAGACTGTCTCCTTCTATTTAAGAAAAAGTGCTTAATCTGTGTACTTCAATTTCATCAAACAACAACTTCAAACTACCAGTTTTTTTAACAAGCCAGACACCACAAAAAACAAATTCAAACATTTCTTGCAAATGCACTGTATTCACACCACTTTCACACAAGTAACCTGTCATTTTCTTTGCTAACCAGCAAAACACTTTTCTATAAGATGACCTGAAGAAGGCACAAAACTCAATGTTCAAGTGAATAAATCCAATTCATGCCCATCGGTTATCACAAGGCAGCTTATAAATCCAAAGTTTAAAACAAAAATGGTGAAAACCTGTGACAGCTTATGATAAATGTACCTCAAATTGCAGCAAAAGCAAATACACAACACTTAAATGCTTTAAACTATTCAGTATTTTTTCTAAACAAGCCAAATGAAACACTTGAAGGAGGATCACAGTAAGTTCTACACTGAATAAGCACACAATCATGTCTCATCGCTGCAGAGGGCCTGATAACTGCTACATCATTTCCTTTGCATTACTTTCAGTCTTTTTGGTGTTTTTTGATTGAATATGCTTAAAAAGTTGTTCCACCTTTTAAGTTTTACATCGACAGCCAGCCAGATGGGGCTGATTCGACATTTCTGTCAAATAAATCCTCCACCTGGATATCGCAGCTCCTTTGATTTCTGAAGTGATGGTGGACGGTCATCTGAGGTTGTTGAAGTTGTTGACTTTACAGTTTAGCCAAGCTCTTCTCCAGACTCTCAATGTCTGCATCCCCCTCATCGCCCTTGTTGCCGCGGGCGCTGCACTCCAGGAACTCAACCTTCAGGGGCAGCTGGCCAAACTCAAAGTCCTTGCCTTTTTTCCCCAGATACACACTGCCGCCCACCGAGCCGTCCTGAGAGCTCAGAGCTGCAGAGTGCGTCACCCGCAAGGTGTTCCTACGAGAAACAAGAGACAGGGTGATTGTTGTACATCAAACCAAATACTCTGGCTGGTGAAGTATTAATCGCAGGGTTGGTGGTCACAATCTCAGCTGCACTGTCCTTAAACAAGACTCTGAATCCAAATTGCTGCTAATGGCAAGTGTCAGACACGTACAGTATATATGAAGCACATTACATTTGTGATTTGAGGTGTTAATTTGACTGAAAGTTACTAAAAATAGATAAAATGTGAATCAGAGCGTTGCTATACACTTTCCAGGCAGTCTGTCTGCTCCAAACGCAAACAAATGTTTAGTTACATTTTTTTTAAATTCTGAATTTTATATTTTAGAATAGCCTACAGCATATGGTCAATAGTCAACTGTGATTAATGTCCCTTAATAATTGTTTCAGTTAAATAAGTTAAAATCTAAATCCAAACGTTTCCATATTGATTAGGAACCCTGGAATCAGACACAGTAAATGGCCCAAAATACAGCAAATACACGAGTTACTTACATTTCCTTTTCCAGCTGCTGCTGGATCAGTTTAGCTGATTTTGCCATGGTGATATCTGTAAAATAAGGAGACCAGTCAATTCTGCTGCCAAATAGTAAATAATAAACTTCATAGTGTAGGCTCAAAATGCAGAACAAAAGGATTGTAAAGTGTAGATAATTGGGTATTTTTTACAGCAATAGTGTGGTTGAACCTTGTTTGTTGCATGCCACCACGAGAGCTGGAGCGTTCCTGGAGATCACATTGTCCGTTAACAAGATGTACAGGAACTCTGCCACGTCTCTCACTTCTTTTTGGAAGATAGCGCTGTCCACTACAAACACAATGGCTCTGAAGAGAGAGTGATAATGAAAAATATGTCATCAGAGAAAGTCAAATACTTTGTTAATATTATCCAGTTTGTTGCAGCGATATAAGCACAACTGAACCAAAAGTTGTCATTGCTTGGGTTGGGTTGGGTTGGGTTTGATCAACATAATTACGACAACGCCAATGTTCTCTGTAGGTCAGATTTAACGCTACTTTTGATTATTTGGAAGAGTTTGCCTTTTCAACGGAAAGGTAAATATGACCTTTGGACTAGAACATTGAAAATGTAAATTTAGAGGCTATGGTAACTGCCTTTTCTAGCACAATACAATGGTCAAGTAAACTTGAGAGAATGGTCCTACTTTATCTCACTAACAGACAGATATAAACAATTTAGGTAGGTTGTTCCTTTTCTTACCTGGCTCCAGATTTGAACTTCTCCAGGTACAGAGAGCGGAGACTGTCATGTCCTGGCAGGTCAATCAGAGTCCAGGAGCTGCCCTGAATACAGGAGGGAGAGTGGATGAATGTAAGCCATGACCATCATGAAATCATCATAGCTGATGGTGATAAAGTGTACTGTACTTACTCGGTCGTTTTTGGCTTTGTATGGAGCACTGCTGTCAGTGATGGAAGTCTGTGTCCGCTTGAATTTACCTGCCAACAGCTGTAAAAACACAATATGTAAAATCACTCAGATTACCCATGTCTCTCATCAGCTGAGCAACCTTTTAAAGACAACGTGGCGATGGCGCTTTAGTTGCATCAACTCACCCGGCTGAACAGGAGCGTTTTCCCCGAGTCACACAGACCCACTAGCAGCACAGCACTTCGGACAGTTTTACTGGTGAGGAAGTACTTCAGAAACACTGGAAAGAGAAAAAAAAGTAGAGAACCAGGTCACTATGTCATTCTCATTCAAAGCACATGGTTCACAAACCAATACTATAGAAAGTTGAAAGACTTCCGTGTGGAATAATGATCAACTGACCAACTGACAGATGTTTGCTTTAGCTTAGCAGTTAGCTTATCCGCTTGCTAAATAACCTTTTGATTTGTTCAAGCACACATTAACTAACTAAATGAACATGACAAAACATGTAAACACTGAACGTCCTGCTGACCAACTCGCTATATAACACGTAGCTAACTGCTAAAGTAAGGCCTAGTCTGCTAAACTAATGTTAGCATGCTAACGGTGACATCTTACCACAGGTAATGACAACCACCGCCAAAGCGACTATACATCCGATCAGAAAAATGGGATCTTGGTCTTCCAGTTGCTGTCGTAGGAATTCAATGTAAGGTTCAAATGGGTTTTCTGATATTTCCACGTCGGCTTTGTCCCCCATGTTGCCACCGGTGCTGTCTGCCTCCATCTGTCCGCTGAAGCTAATCTGAAAGTGGGACACGTCTCCTTCCTCTGCGGCTTGTACAGAGGCTGGGCGGCCGGCAGGGGGCGCTGCAGGCCTCCTGGTGAAGTTCACCTTATTCACATTCTGGCTTCTAAACTGGGGAGTGAATAATTCATTTCACTTTAAATATTTTGTTTTCATTCAACATAAAAGAGGAGGAAGACAGTGAACATACCAAGTCGTCCAAAAGCATTGATGGACAGTATAGGCTACATTTACTCAAGTAGTCTAGTGCACATACATAAATAATTTGAAGACACCTACATAAGTAGGCTATTTTAATATGAGAGGAAATGCTAGACATTTACTCTACTCAGGTAAACCTGTCAGAAAGCTGGAGGTACTGTTTACTTAACAGGTTCATATTTTACACACAAAATAATACTTTAATTATAAAAATTAATCTGTAGGTTATTTGCAATCAAGTGTCAGAGGTAAACGAAACTACCGGATTATTTTAAAATCACATTGTCATCACTCATATCTGTCTTTCCAAAAAATATCTCCTTATATTATCAGGAAGTTAGGAGAATAGAGACACGAGTAAGACACTGCAAGAAAGTTAATTAACTATGAACTCACTATTGGCTATCACATTAATAGCAGTAAGACTATATAAAAACTCAAGGGGTTGTGGTTTTTGGTTGGGAACAGATGCACTTTTACGCACTCCGTCTCCAGCCCCCACAGGCAGCGCTTTTTACGCACATGGATATTTGACTCCTCAGTCCTCGGCATGATGTCAAACGTCAGAAATCCGCGTTATTCTATAGGAACAAGCTGTGTGTGATTCATTTGTCAGTTTGTTTCTCCTTGGAAACATGAAATGACCAACTCATTGATGGTTTCAGCGGAGTTTGCTTAGACTTTATTTTCCCATTCCTTCAGATACTTCATCTCTCTAAGAGGGATTTATAACAGGGTTTACTTGAACATCTTCGGTATCTGATGATATAAATCTATGTCAGGGGTAAATCAAAAGGAGATGATGGCTTTATCGTTGTTTTACGCGCTATGCATGTGGATAAGTTTAGTCTGTCCTACGCTGGGAACAGGGTTTGTTTATCACTTTCCGGGAATCACACTGCAGCGGCAGCGCATCAAGTCGGAACAAAGCGGCAACACTGGACCGCCAGGTACCGGAACCAGTACCCAACTCAGGTGAGCAGCACATCTGTACACTGTTTGTAAAAAAATCTCTAGCTCTATTAAATTGTCCCATTGATTATGATTTTTCCATTTTCACATCGACTATTAGAGTGTTAAACCCTGTTTAATTTGTATTTTTAGGAACTGGTGTCAGTATACTGTTTCCAGAACAGTGACCTGTCAGGTGCACAATGGGACACAAACCACTGTGCAGAGAGTGTTACAGGGCTGCCGGTGGCCGGGACCTTGTTCCAAGGTCATCAGGTGAGTCGTCACACACCTTCAGCCATGTCAGCTTTTTCAGTGTCTGTGATGCTTAAACATTTTTTTTGTCATGAATATAGAGAGTTGTGGGGAAAGATTTAGTGGACACACTGCTATGCCACATTGTCACCCTTTCTTTGAATGTTTTGGTATTGGTCTTTTAGTGATAATACTTTTAAAATATATTTTTGGGGCCAGAGAGTGCCTTTATTTGAATGGGGAGACAGATCTGTCATATAGACAGATGCATTCCACTTTTACTTTACAAAAGCATTATCAACACAATCAAGTGAAATATTTGATCTCCCCCTCTCTGTTGTCCCAAAAAATATCCACTATTACTTAATGGATCCATATATAATATGCTGCAGCTTTATGTCCGTGCATTTGTATGTGTATGTACGAGCATGTAGCTACAATCCATGTCCCTGTGCTGTTGTGCAGCTACAGGACGGTGATCAGGCCATCCTTCAAAGTTGCCTACAAGCAGGTGACTGCACTGGAGTGGAGATGCTGCCCAGGGTTTGTGGGAGAAGACTGTCGTGAAGGTGAGTTTCTGATCTATGCTCTCTTTTTTTTTGTCTTTTACGAGATGTAGGGGATAGTGTGGTTGGAGAGTAAATCTCTCAAAGACTGAAATGAAGGCCATGTGTTTTGCCCTAACCCATCTGTATCTTTTTAGCAGCTTTACCCACATCAGTGCGTTGTTTAATGTTTGGTGGTGTGTAGTCGGGTAGCTTGCTAATGGTGCTTCTGTGCAGCAGTTGGCCGTTTGATATCATTGTAAAGTTGTTTGGATTTAACATTGCAAGCCTGTTTTGGATTACTGTAGTTTTGGGAGAAAGGATGGCACTAAAGCAACAGTTGAAAGAGATTCTCTACCCTGTGGTTTTGTACCTTTTCTTTTATGGTCGTGCATTAAAGACACTTCTGTGTCTGGAAGGAGGATTAGAATCACTTTTGTTTCCCTCTGTATGTCTTTCTTTGATTGTGTATGTACTCCCTGTTAACCACAGACAGAGGCAGTTCTCTGTCCCTCCCAATATCGTCAGTCTAAAATATGAATGAAAAAGTCTTAGAGGAATGTCCAGCAGAGCCGCTTGTAAAGTGGGAGGCATAGTGTTGGTCTCATGATGGGCAGAGCTGCTCCTTGATACCACAGACCGCAGACTCTAAGCCCAGAAAGACCAACATTTTCATCCAGGGGCGAGACACCACAATCTGCCAGAAGAAACAGACTTTCAGGGTGGATGAAGGTCTAGTGTTGGGCCCATAACTCTGCTCTTTACATGTATAGCTATACATTTATAAATATGTGTCCACTGCTCAAAACCACATTGACAAGCATGTTTTCACATATTTAGTTTAAACATTGTGGATGCCCGTAAAACTGTTGAGGCTGCTTTGGCTTAGAGCAACAGCTTTCTTTTTAATATGATATAGTGAACACAGCCATTTTAAGATTTTGGGGGGTGGGGCAATGCAGCACTTTTTGTGTCATTGAAAAGCACTCGTCTGATGTTTCTACATTTGTCTAACATTTACCTCTATGAGCACGTTTTTCTTATTGGCCATAATTGCCACACCTTGTTCCATTTTGCAAAATGATTCATTGTTGCACTTGGAGGGCGAAGATTTACCGCAAGTTAAAAAAACACACATCAGTACTAATGGAATAAACATAGACATTATTACAAAGCCTTTGGAAACTATTATTTTGTGCGGCCATGGATTATTTGACTCAAAGATTAACAAATAACTGCATCCACAGAGTCTGGACCGCCAAAGATTATGGTTCACTTGAGACCACAGTGGTTGCAGGAGTGTGAAGAAGTAATCTGGCAGTTTATTTTATGTTTGCTGAGATTAATTTGCAACTCCTAATGGCTTTAAAGCACGAGGAAAATTGCCTCCATATGGAGAGACAGAAGGCCACATTTGGCTCTGCGAAGAGACCTGAAAGACAGAGGCTGATGTCAGCGACAGTCTGCCTCACACCGAGGCGAGGAGGGGGAGCTGGCAGTGTGTCGGAGGGAGAGAAGGTGAGGACACAGAGGGGAGAAAGTTAGGATGAGTGCACAAGAAACAACAAGGTGTTAGAATTGGCAGTGCAGAAACAGCTGTGTAGCAAGAGAAAAAGCAGACAAGAGAAGAAGTGAATATAATAAGGAGTGTTTCTGTCCCACAGGGCTCCAGCTGCTACAAGCTGCCCAGACAGCAGCAGAGCAGAGAGCCGGTTCTGTGGGAAAGTGGCCCCACTGAGATTAATGAGCATGACACTCTTTCATGAGGTCTTTGTAACATACGTGACCGTGCTAAAATCAGGCCACAGCTCCGGTTCTCCCTGCGTAGATTAACCTCAGTATAACAAAAAAAGGTTAATAATGGATATCAGGACTTTCTTTCAGGGAAGTTTAAGTAGTTTATAGAACCTATATGTCATTTTCAGTACATTTCCTCCTCAGGACTTTGATTTCTGGAGAGCTGTTACATAGAAGGGAGGGTATGACAGTTGTGATATTAAGTCATGCTTCATTTTTAAAACAGTCTGAGCGTCTTTCCAGCATTTCATAAAAAAAGCCCTCTTCCTAGAATCAATCAGTCAAATACGAAGATGAAGATATGATTTTGTTCCTTTTAAGGAAAGAGTTTGACATTTTTGGGAAATACGCTGAACTGCTTTCTTGTTGAGAGTCCACCCTTATGTCTAAACTACTTCAGCAGCTTAGCTTAGCATAAAGTCCTCACAGAAGTCTTTGCTCCTGCCCAAGAGATGTTCATCATTTTTAATATGACCATATACTGGCTGCTAATGTTTGCTTATATTTACTTCACAATCATGAGTGGTGCCAATATTCTCATGTAACTCTCAGCAAGAAAGCAAATAAGAGTATTTCCCAGCATGTCAAACTGAACTATTGCTCATAGCGTGGAGAATTTTGTTTGGAAACATAATTCTGTGTTTGTGCATTCATCCTTTTGTCTTTATGTCACTCAGCCAGCACTGTACATGCAGCCCTGTGTAGCAGAATATTGAGCCAGCTGTTTTATCAGAGCCTTAACCGATGAAGATGACATCACCCCAGGCTTTAGTTTGATGAAGCTCTGGCTCCACTTCAGAGGCTCCTGAGGCCCTCGGAGACGTAGACACAGGGCACATGAAGAAGGCTGGAGTCAGAAGAAGTTAAGTCAGTGTAAGCTGAGGAGATGCTGGTTTCTCTCACCTCCTTTCACACTTATGTTTTCTTACCCTAGAGACCCTGAATCATTTTCTGCCCAACCATAGTGTCCTTTGATTTTCCTACCACCCTGTAGAAAACGGCCATTTATGAAGGTGACTTTGAGCACAAGAGTAGTTTGTCTGATAAGGGATTTCTATGATTTAACTTCTAAACTTCATTTTATAAAGGCAAAATCGTCTCTGGTATCAATGCAATATCATATAGAGTTTAGGATTCATGTTTCTGGCTTTTTCCCTGAAAAATGATATAAAATGGATTTTCACAGTTTTATCAAAATGTAAAACATTACACAAATAGTCGATTAATCGATCATAGACAGAAAAATGGTTGAGCTACTATTTTCCCTTTTGAATGAATGATTCAGTTAATATTCTGAGCAACAAACACTGTCTTCCTGCAGCCTCCTGTTTATGTACACGTTCTGCTTTTAGTTTTCTGTGATACTAAACTTAAAATTGTCGTGTTTTGGACTGTTGGTCATGCAAGCAATGTGAATGTCTTCCTGCACTTCAAGAAATTGTGATGCACATCCCCCACTATTTTCTGACATTTTCACACCCAACGACTAACCTAGCAAATCATCTTCAACAAAGACATGAGTTGCAGCTCTTAAAATGTTTGACATTTTGAAACTGCTGTCTTCTGACCTGAAATGCTCATTAAATGTGCATTTGCAAGTATTTATTTTAGATTTCCACAGTTGCTTTTCACCTTCAGAAGTCCTCTAGAGTGTTCCCTGAGTTAATGTGTGCTTCTTGTTTAATCATAACTTCAGAGCCCTTAAGGCCACACTGGTTGCAAAGCTTGAACTTTTCTGTGTTTGCTAATGTAAAGTATGTGTTTTTCTGAACCCATTTCGTTGACACCCTGACCCGTCAATAGTTCTGACAGGCTGGTCTATGCTCGCTGTTTACAGTCCATCTCAAGATTTACATTTAGCTTTCAGCAGAGTTGTGCTAACACATGACGGCATGGAACACATTGGAGAAATGTGTTCATGATTTTTCCTGCTGTTGGCCCCTGCCCCTTTCTCCCTGCTCTGTCACAGCATCACCCATCTGCACACATGATCATATTCACAGGAGGGATTGTGGGAAACATATGGGTGTGAGGGAGACTCATCTCCAAACAATAAGCGCTGGGACCTCCCCTGATGGAAGCAGCAACCTTTGCTCTTGTGCAAAAGCTCAGGAAAATACGTTTAACACAGTTTAATGCAGGGTGCGACGGCAAAGGATTTTAATTTAGTGAAGTTAATGATGAATTTCATTAAAGAAGTGAAAAGGTGAAAGTTCATTATGTGCAAATGTGTTAATGCTAGAGCTATGAAGCTGCTAAAGTCCCTGTTTCTCCTCTGCAGCTGCATGAGGAGGAAGTGTATTAAAACCCTTTGTTGTAGAGATAATCTAGGACACCAGCTATATTCATATTTCAAAGTATTCTTCCATTTTTCCATTTCATCACATGGTAGGCCTTTGCTCTTTTGACCTTGCTTTTTCTCGCCACTGTGGAGCTCTTTATCTTTTATGCTCCTTACCGCTTTCCACTTATCTTACTTCCTATGTCCTTTAGATCTACTGCTCTCGTTTCCTTGGAGTAAAGTGATAAAACAGAGCTGTATCCCACATGTGCTCCTTCAGAATGTAACCTCTGTGGAGTGAGGATATGACTGATGTCTCTGTTACAGCCCTAGTTGTGCTGAAATAAAGGTCAAACAGTACCCTCTGACCTGCTGGGAGCTGATCTGCCTGATGGATGACGCTCTGTTCATTCTGCTTCTGTGGTTTCTCATTTCTGTCATCAGCTTATCGTTAGGTCCCTCTGTATATCTGTCTGCAACTCCACACATCTGTTTATGCTGAGCTAAGCAGGTATAGTTCCTTAAAAAGTCCCTGAGGTCAATGAGAGCCACATGTGTCCATGAAGGTTGGTGCAAGTAGATTTTTGCTGTCAGTTGTCAAGACAGGCAAGAGAAGTGAATAAACAAACCACTATTGATTGTGGTGGCTTCTTTTATCAAGTAGTTCTAGTGCTAAGCTGTGCACAAAATACAAACAGCACGAGACTATCCATTCTAGCCCTCTTACCTGGAGGCAACATGGCGTTGAGCCTAATGGCAGTGTTAATATGCGGGTATATAACCATAGATAACTAAATAAAGATTTATGTTTTAATACAGCTTGGCTATTGCCACTTTACGCCACTGGCCAGTGTGATGTTGTGGATCATGTGATCCCATACACCATAAACCAAAAAAGAAGAGACATTTGAACCTGATGATAGCGCTAGAGTAAAAGTAGGAATCA